TCAACAGAGAGTGACTTGTATTCATATGTGTAGCAACACCTGTAGCGGTGGCCATTTTATTACCTTTAGAACACGTTTGTATGTCACGTATTTTTGCTCCTATTACAAACACTAATGATTTATTTCATCCCGCTACATTACAGTGTTAAAAAGAGCTCTCCTCTTCAACGGACGAGTTTGTCACGTGAACACCAAGGCCCTTGCTGTCATGAGCCGGGGTGAGTACTCGTCTCATCAACTCACTATCTCCGAGTGTTTCGATTTCAGGAGAGAGAGCAACAGCTATTTCCAATCAGCTGATCAGCGGGCCGGTTTATAAGGAGGACGGTGGACATGACTCGACGCCGGATGATTAACTACTGACTGGTAGTCTCTAGCCCTCGCTTATCTCTGCTCTTGTTCTCTCGTGTTTTTCTCTCGTGACTTGGATCAATTATATTTTTGGATTTTACCCCACCTCAGATCTGGATAATCATCAGAGTTTTCCCCAACGCCGTTTTGGATTTTTATCTGGTTCGTTTCCTGATTCACCCTCCTCCAAGTGCCGACCCGATCTCCTCCACCTCTCGCTCCCTCTCCAGAACCACACCGGTCCGGATCCCATTCCTCATTCACCTCTACCGCTCTACAATCATTACCTGGACTTACCCCGGCTCACCCCTCCCACACGCTTCTCGTCTATCTAAGCCGTAAGTCCCTCAGCCAGCAATTCCCCTGCCATTCTACAACTCCCATACTCACCTCTGCTACATTTCCCTCTAGACGCTGCTTCCCATTTCTGCACCCGCTAGATTTTCCAGTGCGCCCTTAGTTCACCTTTTCGTCAATAAATATATATATATATATATATATATATATATATATATATATATACATTTTTTTTATACAATCTTACTCTGATTCTGCATGTCCTGGGTTAGACTCTTGCCCCACAACATGACACTTGCGAGCATGTTGGTTACAAGACTCCTGTCCATGGTCGGTGATCAAGGTCTCAGAGAGATGATCAAGCAGCTCAACCCAGGTTACCACGACAACTACCTACCAGGACGATCCCGTTTGTGTGTGTGTGTGTCTGTGTGTGTGTGTTCTTGTACTTACTTCATACTGAGGACCACTTTGACCATTTTCCATACAAATTGAGGACATTTTTCAAAATGAGGACATTTTTTTGGGTCTCCACTTTTTTGGAAGCTTACCAGAAGCTTACTATACCAGTTAGAGGTATAATGTGAGTTAAGTTTTATTTAAGGTTAGGGTTAGGGTTAGGAATAGATCAGCATTGGTTAGGGCATGGATTAGGCATAGTGGAATCACAAAAATGAATGGAAATCAATAGAGGGTCCTCACTATGATAGAAAGACAGACGTGTGTGTGTGTGTGTGTGTGTGTGTGTGTGTGTGTGTGTGTCCGCATGTACGACACGTCTGTTTCTCTCTGGACACAAATAAAATAAACATTAGAATAAAAATGCATTTTATGATAAAATAAAAATGTTGCTGACTGAGCAATCAAGAAACTATTTTTTGAAGCATAATACTCTTTCTTTGTATCTTAAAGGTATTGGCCAGACTCGGCACTAAAATTGTGGAAATGCAGAATAACTACACTTTACCATCTATATAAATATGAACTGGGTTCAGTTTTTCATTTTGTTAAGGACTTTTGTCATAAATCATTACAGAAAATCCAAGTCCTCTCCTCCAGACAGTGAAGAACTGTGTTTATGGCGTCAGAATTCCGCCATATCTCGTGCACGCGTAATGTCCACATTGCGCGTGCGAACGGGACTCACGAGTGGAAGTTTGAACCTCGACGAGTGAAGATATACATGGCGAGGAGGTCATTTGTACACTGAGAGGGAGCAAACTGTGTCTGTGAGCGCACAAGGATGTGCACAAGTGACAAACCTGCGTGCGCGCGTTGGCCAACGAGCACACAGCAGAGGAAAACATGCGCGCGGCAGCCTTGCTGCGCATGTGGCAGCCTTTCTGCGTGCCACATGTGTTTCACATACGTCACTCCAACACATAAAACAAGGTAGCTGCTGATGCTAGTATTGTGAATAACTATTTTGTTTGCTTTCTTACTCTTAATTATTACAGAAAATTGCATTTACAGCTGCAGCAAAAGGTCTGAGCCATGTGTCCGTGTCCTACACGCATTTTTAAATAACAGGTCTGATCCAAAATAATAACCTACATCAATAAATCCATCTATAACTGCACCGCTAAGTCTGGACTGTAGATGTGTCCCGTTAGCATTACTGCAGCAACACTGCTAACCGTGCTAGCTTTGGTAAGGAAAACACATGTCATTTGGGTAAGCTACAACACACACACACACACACACACACACACACACACACACACACACACACACACACACACACACACACACACACACACACAGATACAACTTAAAAGGTGATCCCCATATTTCAACAATAGATCCTCTGTGGACTTACAAAACCTCCAATGCCATCATGGATTAGTGCAAACAATGAGCCAAACTAAAGGGTTACTTCAGCATCTGGAAGATTTATTCGGGTAAACTATCGGTTAGTATTTTCCAGAGTTATATCAATATATGGAGTGGTAAAACTGGCAGCACATTATTTTATTTATCTGTAGATTACTGAATTATATTGGGACACATGATGGAGCTAAGACCAGCTGAGAACTCGTCAGCTTAGAACTCCCGATGGAGCACAGAAACAAAATATTTAAGAAAAGTAAACAAACTGTGACGATTTTGGTTCTGAAGATGAACAGAATCCTCCTCTATGTCCAAATCGGGTCACGGGTCTTCTGAGTCAATCAGTCCAAAACATGTCTACACCTCCAGTAGTGATATCCAGTTAGCGGCGGAGTTCGGTTGAACTTCACCGGTAATCCAATATCCGTTCTCGTTGCCGTATCCCAGGGAAAAAACAAATCTGACCGACTAGCAGAGGCTTCGGAAGCTACATCTGATTGATGACACATTGTTCTCTGCTATAATGCTAACGCAGAAACACCGGAGTCAGGGGTTGTTTACTGTAGCGGTTTCAGCAGAGCACCTTGTGAAACGTCACCAGCTGCCCAGGGCTTAGACCGGAAGTTAGTTTCTGTTTTTCTTGCGTCAGTCAAAAACATCGGATTTTCCTAAAATTCCAGCTGTGAAAATCCAAAAACCTTGATCATCTGAGGTTTGAATGCTTCTTTATACATGCCATTCAAAAGGAATTTTGCCTCTGGCCAATATCTTTAACCTACTTTATTATTACTACTACTATCTACTTAAAGACTGCAAAGCACGCCACACAAACCTGTGCATAGGGCCTGGATAGATTACAAGAAAGCCTATGACTCAATGCTGCACTCATGGATCACTGGATGCTTGGAGCTGAACAGCATCAACAGGACTCTGAGAGCCTTCATTGCAAACTCTATGAGGCTGTGGAAAACCACCCTTGAGGCCAATTGCAAGCCAAGTGCACAAGTCTCCATCAAATGTGGCATGTACCAAGGAGACGCCCTGTCCCCAATGCCGTTCTGCATAGGTCTGAACCCCCTCAGCCAACTATACAACAGCAAGCCTGGCGATGGATAACAAATCAAGAATGGAACCACAATCAGCCACCTCTTCTACATAGATGACATAAATCTGTATGCCAAGAGCGAGCGAGACATCGACTCACTGATCCACACCACCAGGATTTACAGCACTGATATGTTATGAGCGATTGATATCTGTTGTTGACAGCCCTTTGATCAGCCTCAGTTTGAAGAAACAGACATTAGTTAGAAAGCCAAGTTAACAGCTATTGTAAGAGGGCTCACTACAAAAAAGGATTTGTCGTGTTAAAACAAATTAAACCTCAAACAAGCAATATTTTACAAATCCTTACAGGCTCTCTGTGTCGTATCACATGGTCATACACTGGTGAAAATATTTCAGTTGTTTGAAGGCAACAATAATCTACTTTGGTCTCAAACCAGCTCTGACTAGCCATTATTGAATCATTAGCACCAGAAATGATCTTTGTTGCTCTAAATGTAGGCAACAAAACAACTGTTAATAATGAAACATAATATAACAAACACTTTTAATATACAAGATGGATTTATTCTTCCAACAATTTTCAACAACAAAACCACTTTCTACTAGCCTGGCAAGCCATATGTGAATATACAGTAAAGGCCAAAAGTTTGGACATACCTTCTCATTCAGTGTGTTTTCTTTATTTTCATGACCATGACCATTTACAAAGGGGCCAACAAGTGCTAAACACCTCTGGTAAAGAAAACACATTGAATGAGACAGGTGTGTCCAAACTTTTGGCCTGTACTGCATCTGGCCACGACCCAAAGACAAAGTTCAGTTTATGGTTGTTCAAACCATATCTGCATGCTATTGGACGGCAATAAACATGACGTACTCACCGCTACGGTGGTCGGTCAACAGGGATGTTCACCATACACTGTCGAAAAAGACACAAATACATCCATTCTCTACATAAAGGACTTGAGTGCCTCTATCTGCATGACAAAGAAAATCCCAAGTCTAAATATTCCAAAGTTGATGCCAAAGCCATGTCAAATTAGCTATCACCATCTTTATTTTTTCACTCAGTTGCAGTAATCTCCCACCCATCAAACTGATAGAGCACTGTGATTGGCCCACCAAACTGATGGAGCAATGTGATTGGCAAGGCCCGACTGTTGAGCCTGCTGAGGCTCCAATGGAGAAGTGCCGGACCGACATGCAGAGCAAAATCATTTTTGCTTCCTCTACAGATTTCTAGGCTAACATTTTTCAACACCATGTGCAAAATATTCTTACTGCTTAAACAAAAAACCAGAATCACTGATTTAGAAAAGGTAAATTTCAACCACTATCAAAGAAAAAGGACCATCAGATCAGCAAATTCATACCCATACTTCGTTACCTGTTATAAAGTAAAACTCAAAGTATATTGTTGTTTTTAACAATTCTTCCCTGTTCTCTGGTCCTACCTGGCATGGCGTGGACTAAATCACCGCACAGCACCATGAACCTCGGCCGAGGGCTTAACTGGTTAACGGCCTCCACAGCATGTTTCGTCAGCTGAACTTCCTCTGCCCATTCATCCCCTCCTCCATCACAGTCGCCATCTCTCCAGGCCTTCATCAGCCCAAGCTGGGGGTCTGCTGCTTGGATGAAACAAAAGGGTCCATTCCACTCATGCTCTGCATCTGGAAAAAGAACCGACAGGCACAGATCCATAGGGGTTAAAGCACAATCCCGATTCAATGACGCCACTTTAAAAGTAGGATCAGGATACCTTGAAGGGGTGGATTACTCATTTAATGAATACATTTGCAGTGGTCTCTAGTAGGAAGTGAATGCTCGGGGGGGGGGGATAGATCGGTGCACCATTTCTCTCACCTAAAAGTTCCCCATATCACAGCTGAGCTTCAGATGGAAGGTTTTGGAGTCTTATTTCCTGATATTTGGACATCTCGCTCCGGATTTGATAACAGCAACATAAATCTACCACTGACTTGCAGCGAGGATGTTTTATCTCCACAAATAACACAAGCCTGAAGCAGCTTCTGCTGTGTGGTAGTGTTGCTGATGCTAAAGGTTAGCTTAACTAAAAGACACATTATCTGTTGATTTCTAGGGTTAGGGTTAGGTCAGGGTTCGATTTCTAGATGAAAGTGACTCTTGTTTTTACGTGATCAGACTTGTTGTGTTTTGAGAGACTTAAGTCATTAAAAATGGGTAAGTAGGCCTGTTGGATGAATTATGGATACATTATTTATTATTTCAAACGAAAGCTCATCCAGTTCATTTTTCCCTGGCAACAGACAGGCGTTTGACCTTGCTTCTTCCCAGTCCTGGCTTATCAGTAAGAACGCCCTGTGCCAGCGTCTGGGTGTCTCCCTTTCGAAGTCTAAAGGAATGTGTAAATGTGTGTGCGTTTTATCATTTTTGTGTGTCCTTAATAAATACTCTTGGAGGGCTTTTTGTCGAACGAGAGCGAATTGACTACTGACTCGTGTGTTTCATTGATCTCTCTCCACTTTGCAAAGTCTAAATTGTTTGGTTATTGGTAAAGATTGGTATGGGTTAAATCGATCAGCTTGTTTATACAAACCTTTATTGAGAGCAACATCGAAACACTGGCTGGAAACAAATTGAAGATTATAAATATGGTCGGGAGAGAGGAGAGGTTCCCGTCAGGAATAAATATAAAACTGGATTTGATAAATCGTAGGGTAACGGGTTGTCATTTACAATTAAGGAATCGTTCTGTTTGGAATTAGTTTCATTTGGAAATGTCGCCTGAGAGTGCAGCCTCTGAGCTAGGGCTAGGCGATACGGCCTAAAAATAAAATCTCCAATTTTACTTCTTTTTATTTAATTTATGTTTTTTTTTTCTGATTCTCTCTTCCCCTCAGTTATTAAGAATAGCAATAGGTACAAATGGAAGGCACCTTAAAGCTAATTTTGTTTTTTATTTAATCACAAGCAAGACAAATGTAACCCTCATTTCTGAGATGAATAATGAATAAATGAACACTCTCTTGGAATAAAAGTGCCACGCACCACGTCCGTCGCAGCAAACCCAAACCAGTTCCAAACAATGGATGATTTAATTCCTTTCTTAGGAACAAACTTCCCACTCTCACCAGTGGCCGTGGAGTCGCTTGCTGTTGCTGTTTCGTGTGCATGCTGTGACGTTGTTGTCGCGATTATGTGAAACTAACACTTTGGAAGCTCCGGGGGGCCAAAAAGGGGCTACTAAAGTAAAATACGATTTACTATTTTTTAAATCGCACGCAAAAAATATTTGAATTAATTCATTAAATTGATTTATCGCCCAGGCCTATTCTGAGCTGTCATTCAGTCTGGTTACCTTGGCAACACGGCGTATATGATAAGGGAGCAGGGGAGGTGCTGGGGGGTTCTCGCAATTGTAAAATAAAATATGAACTGGAATTGGATTTGTGCGGTTTGTCTGTCGTGCCACAAAGAGTTCCAAATCAAAGCGTAGCAGAAGGATTTCCTTTGAGATCAGAGAGCTCATAGAGAACACGTTCCCTCCAGACTGCAAGCTCTGTTAAATCCTCCAATAACACAGAACAGCCATGCTATAATGTCAGATTCCCATCGGTCACAGGTGTCTTATTGGTTTTAGCACCAATTATGCAAAAAAAGCGCCATTTTTCCACCGGCACAATTATATACTGGGTAAATATAATTTGTGGATGAAGAACATCCGTGGATGACTGAGACTTTCAGTACTGCTGTTCCCATGTTCTACTACTAGATGCCATTCCTACACATGGTTAGAGCTGTTCTTATAATTAGGAACATTTTCATGCACAAGTACAAATTGGTAAATACCACACAATGCGTAAAATCGTCCCCACACACGAAATAGCACAGATCTGTTCGTAAGTACAGTTGATAAATGAGGGCCCAGGTCTTTCAACGGAAAACTTTTAGCTGTATGAACCATCCCTTTTCAAGATCAAACAACCATTATTTGTTTAATCTGAAAAACAATTTGTCAGACATGAAACAACTCACCAGGTTCCAGCAGTCACCCATGAGACTATCTCTTGAACAGCTGATGCGGATTAAGAGGAATAGGATTTGATATCCAGAAGACAAACTACTCGCTTGGCCAGCCGGATCACAGAGACGCCTCATCACACGGATATCGTAGCTCTCTGCACTGGCGTTGGATGTGTTAACCCTAATTGGATAACTAATTAAACACCCCTAAATTCAGGCAGACTATTTTATAAAACAATACATCACAATACAGCTGGGCGATATGGCCTAAAAACAATATCACGATATATTGAGGATTTCACTTCGATAGCGATTAATGGACGATAACTACAGGTATGCGCAGAAACAACAGTTGTCCACTAGATGGGGATTTCACATGCATTACGTTGAGTCACAATTTTATGTGACTCAAAGTGGTCGCTTCTTAAAATGACACGAATGTTGACAACCTACACACCTTTTAATTTTTTTATTATCAAATTTATTGACATGGGAAAACTTGTCTCAAGAAGAGTCAGAAATTTTGATAACGATAAATATTCGATTTATTGCCCAGCTCTACATCAGTTTTCTAAGAGACTTAGACTAACCCTAACCCTAACATCGAAGATCATGTTTCATTAGTTTGATTATTGTCTCAGTTGATATTACCTTAAATCATCATTTATAATCAATCATTCTGTTTGATCGTTAGACATGGAAATGTAGTAATAAATAGATTTTTCTAAACTATATTTTTGGCTCCGTGTCAAATTATTGATGAGTATTGGTTCCCTGGTATACACCCAAATCAATCAAATCAAAGATAATGTATTAATCCCAGAGGGAAATTAGAGTTCCAGTACACACAATTCAGAGATCAGACATACATGGGCAAGACACATGACAAGAATTGGTGACTGTGGTCATTCTCAACCCTGAGTCGCACTACCTTAATGGAGATAAGAGGGGTTACATGAGGATTGGCTCAGGTGGAGGGGAAAAAAAGGCACTTCAGAGTTTTCGTTGGAGCCTTGCAGGCTCAAGGATGCCAGATTCTGATTAGAAATTGTTTTGAGGCCAGACAGAGATCATTTCCTCTTTTACAGTTTGTTGGTCCTCAACCTCTCAAAATCCCAATAATGGCCATTAATCTATCCCAATCCGTGCTGATTCGTCCACTCTATCCTTGATGGCATCCATCTTTTGTGCCAATGAATGAATCTCGGCCAAAGTCCCAAGCTTACGATTCATCTCGACAATTACGTGAGTCTGTGAATTCACAGCGCGGTGCAAACCATCTCTGAGCTCCGGGATCAGGCCAATATTCCTCGACAGCTCGTTAATTTTCCGGTAAGCCAGGTAGCCTCCAAGGCCAATGAGAAGGAAACCTGACACCAACACCACAAATATCCACACGTCTTCAGTCCTCCACAGACAGCTGAGATAGACAAAACAAGTTCCACTGTTTCCAGGAGTCCATGATGTGTCCAACTGGGTCTGGCCCGGTGGGGCATCCGGGAGCCCCTTCTCCCGTTCTCATCGTTGAAAAAATTGTATCAACTGCGTTGAGAGACCAACTGACGAGATCCATTTTAGTGAATTTCAGTTTCCAGTTTCCAGAAAAAATGTAGAAGCAGCCGTGCACCCAGCACACACAGACAGACAAAGGCCTTGAGGATAAGATATGGAGGAGAGGAGGAAAAAAAGTGTCTGCATCCTCCAAGAGTCGGAAGAAGAAGTACCTATTTTCATCAACAATCAAATATTAAAGGTTCAGTAATATTGATAATCCATATTTTTATGGAATATTACAATTTATTTCATACCTTTATATTTGTATTGATAGTTTATTAAAAGTAACCACTTACAAAACATTGCAGTTATCAGTGTCACCTTTTAGCATTCCAATAAAGTGGAAACGTCTAGCTATGGACCATGAATATTGGCTCAAATAATCGGCAGCACATACCAGCCATTGGCTGACCTCGACCCATCTATCTATGCTATCAGCATTGGTATCAGCAATAAAAAATACATAAAAATCAGTTGGTCTCTAGCTAAAGGACTCCAGAAAGCACTATATAAATACAGGACATTTATAATCTTTTAAACAAAACCTCCCAAAGTTTTCTCAACTAAACCCTGAGAAGACGCTGTTCCAATGATGCAACAACTCTTTTGTGAAAAGTTCACAACCTGTTCAAAGTTTAAGCAGTGAGGAAACTGAAAACGTATGCTAAATTTTCAAGGCATCTTGGAAACTACTTTGTGATTGCAATTTACAATTTGCTACCAACAGTGAAAGCCCTGTCAGGTCCTAGCTTTATGAGCAAACAGGGCTAAATAGCTAGAAACAAAGATACATGTTAGAGAATGAATGAATTAACATAATCCAAACAATATACAAACACAAGCGCCCCACAATGTGATCAGTCTCCAATATTCATTAACAAGACAAACAGCATCTGTTCTCCATGTGGAGAAAAGAAACAGATACTAGATGCTGGTAACAGAAAAGTAATACTCAAAGACAAATGATGTGATTTTGACTGAAAATGGGTCAATGTTTAAAAGCAGGTGTAAACAGCAGCTTTTAGCTCTGCTCATTTAGAACTAGCACAATGAAATGCTGCTGTCGTAAAGAGACCCATTCAGCCTGAAAACCCACACACACACACTCAGCAGGGCCCGGTAGCTGTTACACATCCTCCATGCTTAATATGTTCTCTGTGTAACACGCTCCCAAATGATTTTATGATAATTCATTCCTTAGAGAAACTTGAGCAAAGATAGTAAAAAGAAAAGAGAAAAAGAGCAACCTCCTCCTGGAAACAATGATCCCGTCTGTGTAATTGACATTTATGGACCCATGAGTTGAAACACATTCTTCTTTTATAATTATAATCCTCATCTCTTCAAATAAATCGCCTTAAAGAGGGTAAAGGAACCTCTTCTCGATCTTAACTGATGACTACACAAAGAGGACCACGCTGAATTTTGCTGCCAACAGGGAGGACTGCAGATGGATTTTCAATCCTCAGCTTCGAGATTAGTGTAGAAAACTTCACTGTCATGCATTTTAATTTAGCCTCTGAGAGGGTCAAAGTCAGACTAGGAATCTAACACCCACAAAGCAACACATCATGCCCCTTTCTAAAAATATCCAAGAGGAACAAAGGAACCGAAAAGCAACTTCTAAAGCCCCAAGGCCTCACCTGAATAAGGTTAAAGTCAGATGCCATGAATCAGAAATAAGATAGATGAACACCAAGACTGGAGAGGGTACAAAATAACAAGATGTTGATAATGTGGTGGTCTGGGAATGCTCTGCTGCTTCAGGACCTGCAACCATCTTTCCACTAGATCATGGTTTCTCAACCTTTTTCAGCTAAACGCCCCCCCAAGTCATGCTGAAATCCCTTACTGCCCACCAATGTCCCATGCAGAGAAATGGAAAGTTTTTTGATATAAATGGTGACTAGATGCTTCACCATGCAGCCCACAACACACGCATGCGCGGGGAGGGAGGGAGGGAGGGAGAGAGAGAGAGAGAGAGAGAGAGAGAGAGAGAATCTGATCTATTTTCATTTGCATGCACATTTATGTGTTATTGGAATCAACAGTGCAAACGTCCTGCTCAGACTTGATTGGTTACTGAAATTGAGGGATAACAACAGCTACTAACAGTTTAGTACTCTCTAGCCTCTTGACGACTGTGACCAAACATGTCAAGTTAAAGCGGAACAGGCTAGCACAAACTTGTCCAACTAGTCATAGCATTAGCAAGTGAGTTAGCTGCCGAGCTTAAGAAGCTAACAAAACAACAGTTAGATACCTTCAGTCAGTCCGCTGAAGGTTCGGTGTGTAGCTCTGAGAAACATGTTCACGTTTCCAGCCATGTCATGAGCAAGTTCGAGAGCAATATAGTTAAACTCTGGACCGTGTCGGTCTGCTTCTGGAGCAGAGTCGTGTTGCTCCTCCCACTGTCACCGCTGCTAGCTACGGCTGACGTTTATCGGTGCTCGACTACACAGCCTGGCTGGAACTTTCTGAAGAAGTTAATCTACGGCTCTGTTTCTGCGTTTTCCTTTTTCTCTTCTTCTCTGTGATTTTTTTGGATTCCAAAAGACAGATATTTTTATTTATATATTTCCTACGTTAGGTCATTTTAGCAACAACCGTATTGTTACATTGCTATAAATAAAGTTTTCAAAACTCGTGTTCTCTCTTTTGATCATACTTCTTTTAGTTATTTTTTGTGTGATGGTATTTAGCTTGTTTTGTGTCTACTGTCCAATAGCTCAACAATTTTGAATTCATTTACGCTTTTTACCATCAAAGATATGTCTGTTTGTTGTGATTACAATGGCTAATCGACTATCAATGACATGTGACACTGTGTATTGTTTTTTATCTGTTTATGTCTCTGTGGTCATTATTAGGATGAGAGAGAGTTCATTTATTCTAAGGGAACCTGTCAATGCTACAACTGCACACACATGCAGGAAAAGACAAATAAACATGAGATCGATCGACAGACAGACAGACAGACAGACAGACAGACAGACAGACAGACAGACAGACAGACAGACAGACAGACAGACAGATAGATAGATAGATAGATAGATAGATAGATAGATAGATAGATAGATAGATAGATAGATAGATAGATAGATAGATAGATAGATAGATAGATAGATAGATAGATAGATAGATGGATAGATAAACCTCTCTCTCTCTCTCTCATCCTTCCAGCCCATCTCCCTTTGTTTCTCACCCATTTCTTATTTTCGGTAATTATTATTTTTGGGTGGGGGGAGATGGCCCAACTGTGTAAATATTGCCACTTAATGTAGAGAACAAAGGAACAGGGCTTTTTCATCTACACAAGACTGCTTTACAACACAGAATTAGTCTATTGTGGATGTTATAGGGAACCTACATCACCACCATCTACTTCTGGACTGCGGGTCCATAACTGCCAAAAAAAATGGATGGGAGTCTGGATAAAAGTTAGTTAAGTTAGTTAAGTAGAACATCCAGGGCGTAAATCACCAGAACCAAAAAATAGCTTTTATAGCCCCTTTCACCTATATTCACTTTTTTCTTGATTCCAGGGACCCAGGAGCCGACTGGAAGAGGAGTGAATAAAGCAACAATGCTCCAATCAGGTGCCTCTGTTATTAAGTCCTCACAGTTCTAAAAATGCATAATTTATACAACTTCCTCTTCTGGTTTTATCATGACCGAGAGAAATCGGGACTACAACCACAACCTTTCAGGACAAGGGACAGCGGTCATAGACTGTGACCTCTGACCATGGTCCTGAAAGGTTGTTAGGGTGTTTTTCTACTTGTGGCTCATACTCATATTGACTTTAAAGCATCCTGACCAGTTTAATTCCTAAAAGTATAAAACTGAAAATTAAAAGTTGTGTATGAATTGTAGCTATACATTTGTTTGTTTAGAAAATGTATTCCTACCTCAACCCACTGGTGAGGATTCTCAAGTTTGTAAGCAAAGGCTGAATATCCTCACAGTGCCTTCTGGTCAGAAATAAAGAATTCCATGTACACACGCGATATTCCTGCACTTCCTGATAAATAACTTTACTTTGATTATTTTGATTAGTTGAGAACATGTTTGCATTCAGACTAGTTCTGTTTGTGAAAAAAACAAACACTTAGAGAGACAAAGTCTAATTTTAGTCTCCATTCCTGGTGGGCTCTCGGATTTGCTTCATTTATGCTTCCAATATTCTGTAAAACCTTTCTGTAAAAGGTGAATTCAGCAGGGGTTATTTCCAAGGATAAAAAGCTACGATGGATAACTTCCAACATTTATCGCAGACAGTCCTCTTCAGCACCCGCTCGAGGATCCCATGGTGTTTCCATACCAGAGAGGTTATACAGGACCAGTCTGTACAGGAAGCTCAGCTTGTGTCCAGGATCTGGTTCTCTATCATGATCTAAATTTAATGAGCATGTGTCAGAGTGGGGATGGACGTAGCTCTTGGAGCAATATCCTCATTAATGAGGACGAAGCTCTAATCTGTCCATCCAGCTCCCTCCACCCTGTCATCACAAACAGCAGCCTATAGATCTTATTAGGATCTTCATGGAATCGCTTTAATGTTTGAACAAAGTCTTGCAGATAAACATGCCAGGAAATAATGTTTGTAACAAAATGTACAAATGTGCACACCATAGTTGCTTTCGTTAAAAACATGCAACAGGGACTGAAACAACTTGAAACTGAAAAGAATATTTAATAAGTAAAAATATGAATGGATTCAACTGGTGAAAATCAGATGTTTTTGTTGAACTGTGTTTTTTTAATATAAAAACTGAACACAAATTATCTCAAAAGACTATTTAAAGCATGAATGTGAAGATAAATAAAGTGAGAGCTCTGACTTGTGAATAAACTTTCTTTTGAAGGGAAAATACGATTTAAACCCAAACACTGATATTGGTTCAATAACCTGAAATGAAGACAGTTCATTTAACACAGAGCACACACGTTCCACTCATTTCAAAGAAACAAGAATCCAGAGATGAAAAGCCTGCCTCAGAGGGGGAAGAGAACATGTGGAGCTCCACTGTCTTTGATAAAGACCAGCTGCTAATGTCCCAGTCTGACTAAGACTCAAGGTTGGGACTTTTTGTGACAATATGTGTGTGGGTCAAAGGTCATGCTACCAAAAATAGGCAGACGTTATGAAAATGTGACCACAGGGACATGCCAACATGAGGTAAAATAAGAGACTGTTCAAATGTTAACATATTTTATATAAAATGTGTTTTAATTTTCTTCAAAAGCTTTTGATATTTCACAAATCACTTACTCGGGATGATAAATGATCAAAATAGCTTTAAAAAAATGAAATGTGAACAAAACTGTCAACTGAACCCGTAAAAATCCAAAAGCAGGATTTGCATCTTAATTCCTGAAAATAGCTGAAAACACTCTGAAAATTATTCATTTTAATTTCTCACAACTGTTTCTATACACACTATTGCCCCCACGACCCAATAAGCTGATGATAATAGATGGATGGATGAGGGGGTGGGTGCATGGATGGATGGATGGATGGATGGATGGATGGATGGATGGATGGATGGATGGATGAATGGATGGGTGAGTGAGTGGGTGGATGGATGGATGGATGGATGGATGGATGGGTGGGTGAGTGGGTGGATGGATGGATGGATGGGTGGGTGAGTGGGTGGATGGATGGATGGATGGATGGATGGGTGGATGAATGGATGAATGGATGGGTGAGTGAGTGGGTGGATAGATGGATGGATGGATGGATGGGTGAGTGGGTGGATGGATGGATGGAATATTTTTAAAATAAAAAATATATAATTTGCATGAAGTAAAATAAACACATTTAAATTTTTTTCCTCTTGTGAAAATACCGGAGAAAACTTTTTTCTTTACTGTTTCCTGTTTTCTTTTGGTTAATTTAAAACACACCACTAACCTCCAGCTGCCTTTGTGACACATTAAGCGACTTGTAATTCCAGGATTTGTACAATAATAGTGGTGAAAAGTGTAAAGTGGCACGAAAATGCAGCTCCCACATAGTTCCCCATCCACGGAATACTGATATCCATTTTTGGACTTTGATAATAACTTTTGAAGATCTCTCTCTCTCTCTCTCTCTCTCTCTCTCTCTCTCTCTCTCTCTCTCTCTCTCTCTCTCTCTCTCTCTCTCTCTCTCTCTCTCTCTCTCTCTCTCTCTCTCTCTCTCTCTCTCTCTCTCTCTGCTTTTATCTTCCTCTCCCCTCTCTCTCTTTCACCAGACTCTCTCTGCCACCCCACTCGCTCACTGCGCTCTCGTCCTCGGCGCGGCTCGTATCTGTGCGTAAGAGCGCACAGATGGATATGTAAACTGGTGCACTCGTGAAAACGCGCAGTCTGAGCCCGTTAAAGCCTCTCTGGGAGGAAAATGCGCCTCTGAGCGAGGGAGTTAAGAAAGACGGAGATTTATTTTTTTTATCCAGAATTGAAATAATTTCCTCTTTGCCAATAAAATAATTTTGGATGATGATGATGATTTGGTAAAGATGCTCATCTGTGCGGATGACGGTGTGTTGCTCTCCGGGTGGATGTTTCTGGACTATCATGGTCGCGCGCCTTTCCTCTTCCTCGTTTCTGCGTGAAATTGAACGGAGGAGAACGCACGACGATGAGAGGGAAATACTTTCTCCTCGCCTTCTTGTTGCTCAAACTTATGGCTCTGGTGTGCAAGGCTGACGGGGAGCCTGGGCTGCTCGGGGGATTCGTGATGATCGCCACCTCTAATGGCACCCGGGAGGAGGAAAACCCGTCCGAGGAGTCTCCGCACACCGAGGAGGAATGTCAGGGTTACTACGACGTAATGGGCCAGTTTGACCCGCCGTTCATCTGCAAAACGGGCAATTATCTGTACTGTTGCGGCACCTGTGGCTTCCGCTTTTGCTGCTCCTACAAGCACTCGCGTCTGGACCAGAAAAGCTGCACGAACTACGAGACCCCGCCGTGGCTGTTACCGGGACCGGGTCCCCACAAACCGAACCCAATGCACGACAGCACTAAAGAGAAGACGAACTTAATTGTTTACATCATTTGTGGAGTTGTGGCCATCATGGCACTGGTGGGAATTTTCACCAAACTGGGTTTGGAGAAGGCGCACCGGCCCCAGAGGGAGAACATGACCAGGTGCGTCTCCGTGTTTACTAGAGAGAGCCGCAGTAGTACGCACGCAATGATCTGCAACACGCGCGATCGGCTTCAAAAACAAGTTGCATCCGTTCATCCATTGTGGTTTCTAGGCAACCGATATATGTGTTGGGGTTCTTGTCTGAGAGCTATGCTACAGCAGGTGGGAGCGCTCGTTGTGCATGTTGAAAGAAGAGTGTGCAATAAGAATTGCTGCAAGACCAGAGCTGCACAACACATTTTCACAAGAGCATCAGGAGCACATGCATTTATTAACATGGTGCCTTTTTATTTTTGATTTTTATTTTTTTGTCTGACAGGGCCGTAGCCAGCGTGCTGCATGGCGGGTGCCCAGGTGAGCAGTTCCGTGGGGAGGAGACCCTTGGCATGCACTCACAGCATTTTGTTTCCAGGGCCACAAATCTCCGTGAGTTTGTTTCATTTATTTATTCATGTCCCTAAGATTCAGAGGACAACCTTCCATGAGCTGCATCCAGTTTCTGACCGGGCTGTGACTGCTGGAGACAAACCTAAAATCGCCAGTGCCGTATTAATGTCAATCGCATCCAAAAGGCTTTGCGAGACAAGCGTTCTCTCAAAACAATCTCAGATGTCGATGTGTCGGGGACTCTTCTGGAATCCTGTTTCACTTTGTTTTTGTGAGTCAAAACGAGTGAGAGAAGGGAGAGGAGCTGGCAGCCAAATGAGACACAATCACTACACTTGACTACACCCCACCAGGAAAATAACTGCTTTTTAGCAATGCTCCAGCCAATGAAATGGTGGCATAGGCGTGTGACATCATTGCCCTCCAAGGAGCGCTATTTTTACTCATTCCAGATAACGGCAAATACCTCATTCATTGTTTTTAATTGATCTTTTCGGGTTATGCAAACATTTGTTTCAAATGTCCTTTAATAAAAATAATTGTTCAGTGCCAAAGCATCACATCGCCACTGAGCTGAAATCCTCAGGACTGATTTGATAATCTGGGAAGACTCTTGATTGGCTGGAACACTGAAGGGCAGGATGATCATACAGAGCTGCAGAAATCAGCATCAAGAAGAGCGAGTTTCACTCGTGTGCACCTAAGATCTGAGGGTGAGAGGGAAACATTCACTCAAAGGTGCAGGATCCCAGTCCAGCAGCGTTAGAGCTGAGAGAAGAAAGATAGTTGAGAGGGAACAGAGTAACTTCACAGCAAAACAGTCATTTTAGGTGTGATGGGCAAATCTGGTCAGTGAAACTGTGAGATCTTGCTTTCAAATTGAGACAGTACACTTTTGACTACAGTGCTTTTCCAAAAACATGCATCCCATGCAGATTTTAAAAAACGAAGATGGGTATAACACCTGTAAACAGTCTAAATGGAATGTTTTTACTCATTTTTGTCTGCATACATAATGTGCTGTAAGTGGAATGCAACACCTGAGCCTTTTCCTTTCTTTCAAATCTAAAGGTCTGCTATGAAACAGCTCATGTTTCCCTCAAAACTTGCATCAAACGCATCAGTTCAACAATTTTGTCTCTCCAATCAGCGGCAGCCCAAATACTGGCTTAATGTGACCTGGGTGTGTGTGTGTGTGTGTGTGTGTGTGTGTGTGTTAGCATAAAGCTGGTAACTGAGTGTTTCCACGATGAAGTCATCTGGAGTAACGGAGGAATGAGACGGTTTGAGGACCAAGCTGGTCATTTCACTTGGATTTGGACACAAATATATTTGTTGTTCTTGTGAGTGAGAAAATACATCCATGTAAGACTGCTGCAGTTTGAAGTGACAGCGGCTTTCTCTCAGTGGCCACATATCCATTTCATTTATCATTTTCAGAGCTCGCATTTTCAGCTGCCTCTCAAGTCCTCGGCCGCTCTTTTATTTTGGTTTATGATGTAATGAGAGACAGAAAGGAGGAAAGTGGGAGTGTGTGCGTGAGTCGGTGAGGAAGAGGTGGAGAGGATGGCAGTGTATTGTTCTTGTGTAGGATTAGTGTTGTTAATGTGTGTGTGTGTGTGTGTGTGTGTGTGTGGGGGGGGGGGGTAATAGAAAGAATGTAGGCTATTTCTGCTGTGTCTCGTGGGCCGCTACAGTACCGAGCTTCTGCATGTTTATAACTCAGAAGATCAAACACACAACTACACACACTCACATGCAAATATGCTCAGACCAGCCTGCACGTATAACACAAAGAGGGGAAAACAGGTTTTACATTCCCTCAAAGTTGCATCGTCAACTTGCTTCTGTGCAGAAAACTAAAAGAGCTTATGTGCCGTGTGCATTAGGAAGATTTCAGACAACAAAAACTAACACCTCATCGTCGCATTTATAAAATTCAGATACATCTGGATGTTTCAAGTCCTAACAACAAAATGACAAACTGTACACAACTTTAGCTTGTTTCATCTCTACAAAAGAAAACATGTTCTCAATATAAAAAGGTTTTCATCTGGAGTTTGAAATGTTAAGTCAATTAAAAATCCTCTCTGAAATAAACAATCTGTACAAGTTTGTTGTTCTCAGAGGAAGTTAGGGCTTAGCTGATGATTTTAATCCGCAGAAAGACGATTGTCATCGAAATGATTTGGCCACTTCCATGTTAGCTTTTTATCATCCTTCCCGAATCAAACACACTATGCCATTCCTTCTGAAGACAAGGAAGCAGAACAAAGGCAAAATCTCATTTTTTTTATTCAAATATGTTTAAAACTTCACGATTTTAAACTGTTCCAGCTGAAACCTAAAAGCAGTGTGTGTGTGTGTGTGTGTGTGTGTGTGTGTGTGTGTTTGGGTAAAACTACAGCTGTTTGTAAGAATGAGAGTGTATTGCTCTCTCAGCTTGTGCTGAGGTGACATAACCGTCCTCAGCATGAATTACTCCACCCACAGACACAATCAAATTCATCAAAAGAGCACGTCTCATGTAAACAGACAAAATGTTGCATATTATTAATATTTTTGGAGTTGCATCGGGGAAAATGCTATGAGGTAAATTAAATGACACAAGCATTTGGCGGTGTCAGCATCCACAGCATCCATATTTCCATCCCCAGCGTGGGGGAGATGAGATGTAGCCTCTCACCTGAAGTGCTCAGGAGAGCACAGCTGTGACTTTTTTTGTTTGCGGTGTAGAGCTTGCCCTCTCTGAACCCTGCTATCCCCGGGCTGGTGTGTAATCATGTGGATTGTTATTAACCCCCGTGATCTGGCATGATCTTCCACCTGATTGCTTCTCAGACCCCTCTGTCGGCAGGCGGAGGCGATTCATCATGGCTGCAGGAGAACAAGCAGGAATTAGATATGGATTTACTGCGTGTGGATATGGTCGCTTTCTTTGAAGTGATTAGCAGAAGGTAAATAGACTCAAAAGGGCATTTGTTATTGATGGTGCTACTGCGGCTGCAAAAGGGTGCAGCAGCTGTTTGTTGAAGTGGAGTGAAGATGGTGGTAATTATAATTAGATGTGCGCTCTGGTTTAAAGGGGCCGGTTGTACTTTAGCTCAGAAAGGAAGTGCATTTAGATGCAGAGATTGTTTGTTTAGTGTTTTATGGTCACTCATCTTTAACAAGGATCAAAGATTCTGGTTTGGCACACCCTTGTGATGAAATTCTGTTTGTTCAGGACTCTCTAAAACGCACCCGAGCTTCATAATGTTTAAAGTCACAGAACTTTTGTTTTATTCACTGGACTTGTTCAGATTCACTGTGGAAAAACGGGCCCATTTTTATGTGATTGATATGTTTCAGCCTTTCTTTTCTTTGGGAAGCACAAAGGTTTGATGATGATTTTTGTGCATTTTCATGCCCCACAGCTTAACACACTAACAAAAATGTGCCGTTGAACCAGGTCTAGATGTGGCAGCAGTATGCTGCACAATCAAAATTGGCAAAAAGTTGGAAAACCAACGAGATTTGATCAAAACAAGTGAGAAGATCCCGCTCTCTTTGGAGCTCCATACTCCAAAGCTCACAGAAACTTCATGATTGATTTTCCTGATTTTTACACAGTCTGAGTTTAAACTACATTATTTTAGGGGAAATATTCACCTAATTTTCAACCAACAAGTGTTGATGCCCCACAACATTTTAGAAAGACCTGCAAAAGTCTTCTTCCTCCTTAATACAAATTATACATACGCTATGAGGACCCACTGTGTGTCTGCTGCTGCAACAGGACTCATGGACATTTCCTAAATCATCTCAGCTTGAGTTTAATGGATTCTCAAACATCAGAAGTTAAATTTCTCTTTACCTTTAAACAAAGGATCTCTCTAAACTTTGACATGATCTCATAAACATAAACATGACTCGGGATCCTTCTTTCACTCGTTGGTCAGGATATTTTTCAGCAGGACTTAGTTTTCACACAGCAACAGTTCATGTTTGGGCCTTTATTTTCTACCTCCATTAAGGTTTCCATCAGAGACAAAAAGACAGGCGTGTGTTTGCTATGGTGACCTTACTGAGCTACTGACAGCAGCTTTAACATTTCTTTGGAACTTGTTTTTTTTTTGTATGTCTTATAAACATGAAGTCTAGTCTGATGTTGGAGTTCTGAGAAATGGCTGCGCTGAACCTTTTCTAGTTCCTGGTGGTTGTGACGCTTACATCACCAGTCTGGGAGTCAAACGGGAAACTCACCAGTCTGACATCTGAGTCTACTATGTTAGGCGCTCTATGTGTCTTCAGCTTAAACAGCCTTCTGCATACTTAAAAACAAACGCTCAGGCCTTCTTTGTGAAGCAGAACCAGCCGCCCTGCAAATCTCCCAGCCGCTTTGGCTCTTTCAGACCTTTCTGTCATCTGAAACTCAAAGACTTTCAATCCTCAAAAGAGCTGAAAATCCAGTGTCTCTTCTCTTTCAGCTTCAAAGGGCGGAAGGGACAGAGACGAGAGGAATGGAAAAGGAGTTGGTTGAGGAAATGGTGCAAAAGCAGTGGAGTCGAATCATTTTAGTAGCAACTTTCTAACTAATGACAGCGATCACTCTTAGGGGCTTTGCATTTGTCATTTTCTATCTGAAAGCAAGCGACTCACTTCTGCAGATTGACAGAAACAACCCTATAATTGGAATGGTTGCCTTTAAGTTATACTCCAAGCTAAAAGACAAAACCATTCTGTTACCAAGCATCGATCCGATCAGGTGCTTACCTGGAAAACTGGGGTTTAAATTCCAAGTTTTTCTCCAAAACTAACTTTTAAAGATGCAGTTTAATTATTTAGTCAATACGTTTGCAGTATTGTCTAGTGTAAGTCAATGCCTTATGAGCCTTAAAAAAAAGCTATGATACTGTTGTTCTGAGATGCGGAGGTTTGCTGGTGCAGAGGTGGGCTGAAAACAGCAGGATTGCTCATTATTATTAGTGATGTGCACTCGGCTTTGGCGGCATCCAAATGTTATACCGTCTAGGCTTCCTCCACACTTTACCAAGGTG